CCGTACCCGGTGCTCATCGCGGGCGGGAGCGACGGCGGGAACAAGCGCGACGCGGCCAAGGCGGTCGGCTTCCTCGATAAGGTCGTCGCGTACCCGACGGCCGTGTTCATGGACGCGGACGGCGAGGTGCGCGCGGTGCACACGGGCTTCATGGGCCCGGCGACGGGTGAGGAGCATTTGAAGTTGCGCGCGGCGTTTGAGGGGTTGATCGAGGAGATGCTTGGGGAATAGGGGGCAATGGCCAATGGGCAGTGGCCAGTGGGGGAAGAATGCCGCGGGATGTGGCATACTGGTGGGATGAGCAACACCAAAGGCGGCATGAGTTCACTCGGGATCGGGGTCGGTGTCGGGCTCGGCGCGGGCATGGGTGCCGCGTTGGGGGTGGTGTTCGGGAACATTGCGATCGGGATCGCGATCGGGGTGGGTGTGGGGATCGCGCTGGGTGCGGGGATCGGGGTGGCGATGGGGGCGTCGGGGGATGAGGGCGGCGCGGGCGGCGAGCCCAAGGGGTGAGGGGCGCCCGCGGGTGGCGGTGTGACCATACCCGAGCGTGAGCGAGGGGCTTCCATGGGTCTGCGTGTGCGGAGGGCGGCCCCTCCCTGACGGTCGGGGTTGGTTGTGGTGGTGTTGGTGTGCGGGCGCTGTTGTCCCCGCTTCCTCACGGGCGCGGTTGCCATGGGGTGCGGGCGCGTGCTGGCCCGCTCACTGCCGTTCGCGGTTGTTACCGCGCTTGCCGCTCGGCGGCGGGTTTCGGGGGTGGCTTTGGGGTCGGTGAGAATTTCGGCGAGGGTTCGGGCGCTGGCTTCGGCGTGGGCGCTGGTGATGTGGGCGGCGCGGGCGCGGCTCAGGTCTGCGAAGGCGTCGATGGCCTCGCGGACGGCGGGGCGGGCGAGGATCGCGCGGAGATCGGGGATGGTGAGCTCGTGGATGTCGCAGAGGTCGAAGAGGGAGAGGGACTCGTCGAGGTAGTCGCGGATGAGGCGCTTGTCGTCGTCGGTGAGGGTGTCGAGTGTCTCGCTTGTCGCGCGGTTCGCTGTTGTCGTCATGGAGGGGAGACTACAGCGGCCGTGGGGGGAGTCGAGGGGTGTTTTGGGAGGTGCGTGATGTTGCGCACGGGGAGCGCGAAAGAATGGGTCAGCCCCACACGAACGAGTGCAGCATCCATGCGCCGATGAGGCCGAGCAGGGTGATCGGGAAGAGCGAGTAGTAGAGAATCGGGCACAGCAGTGTGTAGTTGTGCGGGGCGAGGAGGCCTGTGTCGATCGCAGCTTTCTTGTCTCGCATCTGCATAACGAGGCAGGTGTAGCACAGCATCAATGCGACGAAGAGGAAGAGGCCGACACCCATTGCGCTCGTGAGCCCGATGAAGACCCGCACGGGCATCTCCACGGCCGCGTCCTCGCCCATCGGGTTGATATCGATCAGCCGGACCATCCCGTTGTCCAGGTGCTCGACGTGGTCACGCGGCTTGATGGCGCCCAGGTACGCGCAGATTGAAAGGCTCGAGAAGATGCCGAGGGCGTAAGTTGTGAGCAGGAACGCGAGCGAGCGTTTGTAGGCGGACGGCCAGTATCTGGCGTGCTTGTAGAGGGCTCGCACCGGCCGCTTCAGGCCGAGCGAGTAGAGGGTTCGCACTCGCGATAACTGGGTGGTCATGAGTGGGAGACTACATCGAGTTTGGCGGGCGAGACGCGGGGGGGAGCATCGACGCTTGCGAAGGAGCGCGGCTGCGCCGCGGGTTGGATGAGTGGGAACCCACCCCAACCCCTCCCTCGGGGAGGGGCTTGAAGGTGCGCCGCTGCGCGGCGGGTTGGGTTGGCGCAAGCGTTGTCGGGGATCGCCGTGTTTCAGCGGGCTTGAGCACGGACGCCGGGCGGTTCAGCGTATCCGCTCGATGACTCTCGCGGTTGTTATTGGTAGGCTCTTCTTATGTTCAGCGAGCCATTGGCCGTGTTTCTCACGTTCCGGACGTTCGGGACGTGGGTGCCTGGGGACAAGCGGTGGTCGGTGCATCATTCGCCGGACGACCGGGGGTCGAAGCATCGGCCGCCGAGCAACCCGCTCCGGAAGCACGTGGCGTCGGCGCAGACTCGGGAGAGCGTCGTGTTCTCGCCGTCGGAGCGGGAGACGGTGCGGCGGGCGATCGTGGGGGTGTGCGAGCACAACGGCTGGGCGCTGCACGCGGTGAATGTGCGGAGCAACCATGTGCACGCCGTGATCACGTGCGACAAGAAACCCGAGGAGGCGATGCGGACGCTCAAGTCCTACGCCACGCGTGACCTGCGCCGGGCGGGGCAACTGGATGCGGAGGACGAGAGCCCGTGGGCTCGGCACGGGAGCACGCGGTACCTGTTCAAGCGGGCGGACGTCGAGTACGCCGTGTGGTACACAAACGAGGCGCAGGACGGGGCGCGGTTCGAGCCGGAAGGCGAGTAGCAACCGCGAGAGTCATCGAGCGGATCCGCTGAACGGTTCGCCCGGCGGGACGTGTCGGGTGAGGCGCGGGTGCCTCCTGCCACGCTTGCGGAGGATCGACGCTGCGCGTCGGGCTGACTGGGGTTGGACGACGGGGATCGCCTTGTTTCAGCGGTCTTGAGCACGGACGCCGGACGGTTCAGCGGATCCGCTCGATGACTCTCGCGGTTGCTAGGCGTTGGGGGGGGTCGATGGCGTCGACCCATTTGCCGCGGCCGAAGACGACGAAGCGGAGGGTTTTGCCGTCTTTGAGTTTGAGGCCGAGGGAATTGGGGAACATCGGGACGAGGCCGAGCCATTTGGTCCAGGCTTTGAAGGCGACGTCGATGTCGTCGTGGTCGAGGGCGAAGCCTTTACGGCTCAGGTTGAGCTTGCCGGGCTCGAAGATGACGCGGTGGCTGGTGGCGTAGAGCTTGCCGCCGATGAAGCCGGTGGTGGTCTGGAAGTTCGCGGAGCCGTGTCGGATGACGGTCTCGTTGTCGTGGAGCTGGGTCTTCATGGCCGCGGCGTTCTCGCGTGTTGGGTGTCGGTGTCGGCGGGGGCGCCTGGGGGTTTGGTCGCCTGGCTCGGTGCTGTCGTTATGGAGGGGAGATTCCGGCGGGGTGGGCGGGTGTTGAGGGGGGGATTTGGGAGGTACTGAACCTTGGGCACAAACGAAACAAGGGGGCGCGAGCGCCCCCTTGTTTGTCACGATTTAAATCTCAAAAGTCTCAAGCAACGAGTCGCGATTTGAGATCGTTGCTGCTGCACTGGATGTTCTGCCACGCAGCCTCACCCGTCAGGCCAGCAACGATGAGGCCATCGTCACTGTCCATGGTGCGGGCGAGCGTATCCCGCACGGATTCAGCGGATTGGGTAGTACGAATGACCCAGACAGACTCAAGCACTCGAGCCCAGGAACTGAAACTCTTCAGCGCGCTGTAAAGGTCGGTGTAGTTGCGATTGTTCCGCAAGTCGTACGAGATCATGAACGTATTCATTGCTTTATTCTTTCTTTTTTTAGCGCAGAGATAGCCATTGCACTCTGCGATACGTGTGTCAGTGGAAAATTTGCTGTGTGAAAATACAGCTTGATTTTTCGTTGTGATTGTTGTAGAGTTCAGGGTCACTGCCCGAAATCAAGTGTATCCATGCATCTCCTTCTGCAAGCTCTGAGGGTGATGTTTGAAAGGCCCCGTTGCTGCGGGGTCTTTTTTATTGGGGCTGCAAATAGCCGGTCAAATTCGCTGCTCTACTCGCAGTTAGTAGCGGGAGCACAACAAAAGGTAGGCCGGCATTGGCAGAGTTGGATTGAATGAACTCTCTCCAATACGGCCAACAGTTGAATGTGCTGTTGATTCGGGCGAATGCATCGAGGGCATCGTCGTCCACGATGTTCCAGTCGCTGCATCTATATTCCAAAGCAAACGTGGCAGAGGCGTTGAAGCAGTTCGATCGATCTTCAAGTGCATAGCTCGTGATCATGCTGTTCGTAACATGCAGGGCGTCATCAATGCGGTCATAGGAACATTCTATGTTGATGTCCCATGGATCTCGCTTGGTGCCTTGTGTCTCCAGGATTCTAGAGAACGAGCCATTGACAACAAGTAGTGATTCCAATGAAAAACAATGCGCTACTTTGCTCAGGGCAGAGATTGCATCTGGGATTGTCAGAGTGCGAAATCGAGATTCATTTTGTTCTTTTGCGATCATGCCGCTAGTGCCAGGTTCGTATTTGCAGGAGTGTTCTCGTCGCCGATACGGCACTCAGATTTATCAATCGATGAGGTGTCGAAAACCTGAATAGGTTCATCCGAGTTTGTCAGGGTGATTCTGAGTGCGCAGCCGAGCACGAAGAAGATTTCCGACAGTTTTGTGAGAGTGAAATTGTTTTCGCCCTTCAGAATCTTTGTGATATACGGGGGGGTCACATCGATTCTGCGCGCAAGCTCGCGATTGCTAATGCCTAGATCAGCCATTCTGCACTCAATGAGCTCAGTTGCTTGTAGTATCGCGCGCTGTTGCGATTTTACTAATTTTTGCCGCTCTGCTTTGCTGAGATTCTTTATGGTTTTTGATTCTGTCATTGTTTCTACTTCTCTTTAGTAAATGAGAATATTTCAGGAGGAGAGCAGAGGGTTGAATGTTCCCATTGTCGGTGTACACCCATAGTTCAAGGGCTACATACGACTGATAATGAAATCCAAGGAAATGTAGATGTGCTACTGATATACAAAAACAACCATCTGCAGCCCGAAAAAGGTGGCATGAGCATTTAAGAGGAGCCCCATCTCTGACGCCTTCCCAAATTGCCAATGCACGACCGATAATATCCTCCGATAAAGACAACTCCTCCGCCAAACTCCAGACAAGTGCCTCGGCATCCTCCGGATCGCTCGGGATCCTGCCGTGCCTGTCCTCCGTGACTGTCTTGGCAGTGTTTGGCATTCACCTAAAAGTATACCCCCCCCAGTCCGATAGTCAACCCACGTGCGCAAAAAAAAGGACATGCGAGTGCATGTCCTTGCAAATAAACAACTTAGCGATCAGTAATCAAAGTCATCCATCCCCGCCCCCGCTCCCGCCTTCGCCTTCTTCTCCTTGATCTCGGTGATCGCGGCGTCGGTGGTGAGGAGGAGGCCGGAGATGCTCGCGGCGTTCTGGAGGGCGACTCGTTCGACCTTGGTGGGGACGATGACGCCCATCTTGACCATGTCGCCGTACTCCTGGGTGAGGGCGTTGAAGCCGAAGTTGGTGTCCTTGGATTCCTCGACCTTGTTGGCGATGACGGAGCCGTCGAGGCCGCAGTTGGCGGCGATCTGCTTGACGGGGGCGGACAGGGCGCGGTGGACGATGTCGATGCCCAGGCGCTGGTCGCCCGTGGCGGACTTGCGGAGGGTGTCCAGGGCCTTGCGGGCGCGGAGGACGGCGACGCCGCCCCCCGGAAGAATTCCCTCTTCCACAGCGGCCCTACAGGCGTGCAGGGCGTCCTCGACGCGGGCCTTCTTCTC